AAATTTTTTTTTGTATGTATGCATTGCACCTGTTATTTTTAGAAGAGTCTAAGGATCCTCTGTCATATTCAATATCTGGAATTGGGACTTTTGTTCACTTTGGACATAAGCAATCTTTACATAAAATGTGTCTTTTTTCATTCATATTATTTTATTTTTTCTAGCTCAGCTGAACTTAGAGAAGCATCAAACATTTCATTTTTATGAAATGCTAAATTTAATAGTATCAGAGGCCAGTAAAATGCATTCAAGTAACTAAGAAATTAATAAGTCTTGGCCACACTAAACTGAACACTTTATGAAAGCATGCTCATCATGGATCATTTTGAAATGTGTGAGATCTCAGCATTCTAAGTGAGGCACAAAAGCCTTTATTTAAGGTAGTGCTAGGAAACAGGGAAAATAGAATAAATTTACCCATTTGAAATGTATGATTTCAGACTAAAAATGAATACAGAGATTGTCCGTGTGATGTTTACAATAATGTCTTTTCCTTAGATTACCTGGGTTAGGAAAGCAAGCACTTTTTTTCATTAGAACAATTATATACTAGTAAAAACTATCATATGGTATTAATGTGGGAAACTTTGAATATGAAATTCAGGGATAAATTACTGCCCACGGTCTGTATCTTTAATATTGTAAGCAGCCTCCATTAATGTAATTTCGGATTAACACCAATTTTATTCCCTCATAGACAGAGCTTAAACAGTATATGCTGCTCTAAATTTCTACCTCTAGCAGATCTTTATTGGAGGGAGTTTTCCTTTGTATTTTTTTTATATATATTATTTTGTTTCCAGTAGCTTGGAAAGTAGAGATGATTAATGTTTTAACCTTTTCTTGGAGAAAAGGAAGAACGCTTGTTGAATATTTTCATAGATGATTGTGATTGCTTTAAATGACTTCTGAGGCAATTTGGATTAGATGGACTTAATAATGTGCTGGTAGCATAAATGCTGTGTTTTAATAGGAAAACTCATAAATCTATATCTTTGTTGCCCCTTAGGTTGGGGAAGTCACTGTCTGATTTAGCATCTTACTAGTAAGGGGGGGACCATTTCTGCTTCCAGTGAGGGAGCTTTTATGACTTTTACTCCCATTACACAGTAGAGGGTTCCATTGAGTTGACTCCTCAAATTAGGGAAGTCTGTAACCTGTTGATTTTTTTTTTTT